TACACAAGTATTCCACATTCCAAACTAAAAGACAAATTGAAAGAGTTGGTATTACTTTGTTTCATTAAAAAGAATGGCGAACGTAGATACAAGTATCTTGTCTTGGGGAGGGATAAATCCTACTTTGTAAAGAATCACTCTGATTCAAACAAAAAATTCTCTGAAACTGACATTATCAAGATGCTTGATTTCTTGATTGACAACATATTTGTTACGTTTGGAGGACGTGTTTTTCAACAGGCTGTCGGGATTCCAATGGGAACCAATTGTGCTCCTCTTCTTGCCGTATTGTTTCTTTATTATTATGAGGCTGACTTCATACAGGAACTCCTTCGTAAATTTTACGGACGCCATCACGAGTTGGTTGACCGTTACGGAATAACCGTTTCACAGATGATATCGGATATGTTCCTTATGTCGTAACTACAATACCCTTCCCTTTTCACGAATGTGACCTACCGAATAAGACTATTTACCGGATTTGTAATAACATAAGCAACACGACGGGTGCCACATGTGGAGCAGGATCTGCTTACCCTTCCGGAGCACCTGAGATCACCCCCAGTTTTTGGTGGGGTTCGTGTTCCTTAGTCTTTAGTTTTCTATGTTGTGTCATCTGTACTATTATTTGTCTGTTTGTCTTTTTATTTTTGGCCATAGCGTTGTCAGTTTGTTTTCGATCTATGAGTTTGACTGTCCCTCAGGTATCTTTCGTCCCTCTTTTATATACTCGTAAACAGAATTCTGTATAGTCGTAAACAGTACTTTATATAGTCGTAAACAGTATTTTGTATAGTCGTAAACAGCATTTTGTATAGTCGTAAACAGTATTTTGTATAGTCGTAAACAGTATTTTGTATAGTCGTTAACAGTATTTTGTATAGTCGTAAACAGTACCACTTTATATAATTGTACTTCGCATTTCCAAAGTAGAACTTACAAGAGGAGAAATCAAGGATTGAGTATAAAAATCCGGAAATTTTAATCTCCCTACATTATGAAAATAAGGAGATTAAATATGTTTGCCAACGAGAAAACTATCTTGTAAGGACCAATACAATTAAAAGTGAATAAGTACCGGTTACAGTACGGCCTTCAAGAATGATCAAAACTTATAAGCTATAAATAACCTGAAATGACAATTCAAACGTGAAAATTAACGGCCTGATTTATTTTAATAAACGAAAACAATAAACCATAATAAACGAAAAACTAATATTGTTTACAGCAGCAAACGACAACCATGCACTAAATTACAGGCTGCTTTCTTGAGAGAGGAACATACCGAATATGGCGGGGTTAAACATGATAACGCCCCCCCCCTCCCCCCAAAAAAAAACAAAACAAAACTAAACCGCAATTTACTATCTGAAGTTCATATATACAAACAAATTACATTTATTTTGTACAACAGACGTCTAATTCGTTATTGTATTCCATTGAAATGAATAAAATATTGTTTTCTTAAGTCATAGAAATTTCAACATTAACAAAGAACCTGTCTTTCCAACCGGATGTAAATTCAAGGTCAAAGTTGCTTCTAGCAGACCAACCAGCTCTAAAAGGTATATTACAGTATAATGAACTTGTGTTCCATCCATGCTCGCTGTTAAATGAATCAAGTATTATTGATGTTACTATTTTTACTGTTTTCCCGCTGCATTTAGATTCACTTCTTTAAATCATATTACAGAAAGAACATTGCATATATACCATGTATACTGTCATTTGAAAATCAGATCTCTTTATTTAAAATTATAAGATACATAAGCCATGTTAGCAACAGGCTTTTAGCTCACAGGACCCGAATATTTAAATGAGCTATTCTCATCACTTGACCGTCGTGGTCCAGTAACTTTTACAAAAATCTTCTCCTCTAAACATACAGGGCCGATTGGAACTAAATTTGACCATATTCATGATTGGAGAATATTGTTTAGAAATTGTGTCCGTTGATCCTATCTTCCAACCTAAATGGCCGACATTGCTCAAAATAGAACACAGGGATTAAAGTTTCGTCTTATATCTTGAAAACCGTTATAGATAGAGAAAATCTGACTGAGACAGAGTTGTTCAGAATGTTAAGATCTATCTACATTTCTTTACATCAATACTAACAGTCGACTTGTTATAGGAGAAACTGCCCTTAAATGACGAATGTTATATTTTTTTTAAATTTTTGTCCAATATCTTGAATACTATAATACTAGAAGATAGAGAGATACTTTAAATAGGAAAAATAACTAAAAAGACAAGATTTACACAAAAGTTAAATAGCCGTAATCTTCAGTCGACTCCTTATAAAAGTGTTTGCCCTTTGGTGACGATTTTCACCAATTTTATGCGTTTTGCCTTTTATCTTGAAACTTATGATAGAAAGATGGAAACTTTTAAAAGAGATGATCAGCAGGACAATATTAACAAATAATTCAACATCGCCGAAATTGTCATTCGACTCCTTATTTGATTTAGTGCACTTAAATGATGATATTTACCGTTTTCATATTGGGCAAAAATTATAGAAGATAGATAGAAACTATAAAAAGTCAATGTGATGAGCAAGACACGATCAACAAGAATAATTTTAGTAAGGAATTGTGATCAAGTCTACATTGTTGGAGTGTAGCCATTGTTGAAGATGCACATATATCCAGGTGAGCGACACTTTGTTAATACGTTCAGTTGCTCCCTGGATTATTTCTTTTACTAATTTGAATAAAGATATGATTTAGAGACTTAAAACTTATAATACCTTATGGTCATATAGTTTGAACGTAAATGAATCAATTAGAATTGTTAATATCTTCTATGTTAAAAGAATGTACAGATATACATTATATTCTTTCAGATAAGTTTTACACAGCAGCAATGTACAAAACATTGTCGGGCATCCTTCCAACAACGTTAAATAGGTAAGCAACGTATTGTTTGATACATTATAACTACTACATATTGATTTCACAATTCTGTTGTGGTACATTTTCAGCATTTTAGAGAGAGATTATACACACAATGTTAGTTTGTGTGATACATAAAATTGTGATGCTGAAATTCAGTTGACGACGCGTACTACAACTTTTGGGGTGTTTAAGTAATATATTTTTGAAAATATCAAAGATTTTAATTTGATTATTTTCGTCTGGAAATAAACAAATTTGATATCAAAATTATGTGATACTAAACTCACATTTGAAGGCACATTCATGTTTGTTTCTTAAAAAAGCAATCAATTTTTAGAACAAATACATATAAATAATGTAATCACGAGGAAAACTTACGATGACTGGTAAATTGTGACATTCGTCAGAACTTTCATACCCATGTATATCTTGTATAATGCCTGCAGCATCATGCCTCCGTTGAAACATGTAGATGCCTAAAATGATAAGGGAACATTTTTCTAAATTTAGATTACATGGTTTACTAGCCATAAATCAAACTGAATTATTTCACTTCCAACTGATACTGAACAGCCATTTCACCCGTTCCGATGCTAGTTTGAGGTTTATTCTTTGGCTTATTATTTATAATAAACATGTTTATTTTTTAGATCAGTTGGCTCTGACGTGATTTCCGTATCATTTGACCGAGCTATCCACAACTTAGCAGAAAATATTTCAATTACATTTGAACAAAATAAAAAGGTATGTGTTGAGGTTTGTTTTTGATATTCAAGTAAAAATATATTTACAGTAATTCGTGAGCAAATAAGTAATTCTATTTTATTTGTTAGAGTCTATACAAATCTATATTAAGCGACTGCAGAATATTATATTTAGCGAAAAATATAAAGGTGCGATATCAATTACAGAATACACTACATGTGGTTTTAGAACAGCTTCATAAGGTACGCTCTACATGAAATGTTTGAGTATCAAAATGCATAAGATAATTAAAATAATCAAATCAAAAAGCAAATATGGCTTAGATAGTCCAGCGAAATTCGTCTGACACCAATTGTGTATAAGATATTTCAAAACATAAGTACTAGAACCATCTCATAATTTTTCAACTGAAATTTTACAGCAATTATTTCTCGTTTAAATAGTTCCTGTACTTGCTATACTGTAGTTATTTAATGGATGTTTCCCTTACTGCTAAGACTGTCAGCAGCGGCATCGAATATTAACGCATTAGTGGATGGTTCCCTCACTGCTAAGACTATCAGCAGCGACATCGAATATTAACGCACGATATCGAGATTAATATACATTTGTACATGTACATTTGTATGAAAAAAATGTTTTTAATGACTTCATCAGGTGCGACCGATAAAAAAGTTTGGGAAAACCAAATACAAAAATACAGATGTCCGTGTATTAGACTAAATAAGACTAAAATGTTGTTTCCTGCCATTTAATACTTATATATTTGCTAAATTAAAATGAATTCTTTTTTTTTTTTTTATTGAAAATATTGTTTTTCTGCACTACAGGTAAAATTCATAGATCCAAAGATATCTTGTGGATATTGGAACTTCAGGTATGTATTTTTAGCTAATCTTTATTTTAAAACTGTTACAACTATATACCTAAAGACCCACGGACACGGATGGTAAAACAACTAAAGATCACCGTACGGCTTTCGACAACAACAAAAAGATTTCCCAATCATCCAATGAGTCTATAAAGGGACTCGGGATAACGTATTGTGAAACAATATGAAAGAGAAATCCAAATCCCTATATTTCTGTCAAGTTTATATTGTAAATAAGTTTGATAATCAGTTAAATCAGAAATGAGAAATAGTTTTTAGTCATTTTATCATTTCAGATATTTGAGAACGTTATGCTTAATAAGGGTCCTTCTTTTAACCGTTCTATATATGTATTTTAAATTTGTTGATATATATAAGTAATGTATTCGGTAATCTTGATTCTTTTTGGGATGTTTTTAAACCAAGACAAAGAAGAAATTTTTTCAATGATATGCATTTAGTCAATTCTATTTTTTGCAGTTTACAATAGTCTGAACTTTTATAATATTTTATCTTTTTTTCAGTGCTAGAAGTTGGACTTATGATGGATGCTATTTAAAAATGACCGACTCCAGGGTGTCTACATGCACGTGCAATCATTTAACCAATTTTGCTATACTGATGAGTCCTAGTGATGTCGAAATTGTAAGTCCAAAATAAAAAAAAATCAAATACATAAGAAACTAATTGAATTTTTTCACTTGTAAAAACGATGTTGTGTTCTAAGCGCAATACACATTTTACTGTGTGTTAATATATATAACAGCGCAAAGAACGTTTAGTGATTGGGGTAGTAAGTAACTAAAGATATGTTAATTTTAAGCACATCTACATCTATAAATCGAATATACATTTAAAGAATGCTTACATGTATTTTCATCATACTTTTTTTAAAAACAAAAGAGATCCAATTGTCATTTTTAAGAGATATGAAACTAAATGTTCTAAATGTTAAAAGCAGTTAACGATATACAGTTGTATTTGTTCATTTTATATGCTCTTAATATATAATTAGGGGATTAGGTATGATTGCCAATTAGTTAGTGTATTTCGGGTTGATACCTCCGTTATTCGGAGCTCCCCTCGATAGCTGCGAGGGTACAGTGGTATCCATGAACACTGCCTAACAGGATTAATGGAGATGTGTCACTAACATATATTTACAACCAACCACCAAATACAAATCCCCAATCCAACACCATGAGGTGTTAGGACACCGGGAAGTCTGCATTCTGGTGGAGGAAGCCGAAGTACTCGGAGAAAACCACCGGGCAACTCGGCGGGAACAGACAAACCGAAGAGATATCTGAAGATTGATCAGCTGGTCAAAGTCGGGGCCACTTCGACCAACCGAGGCCCCCAAAGTACCTTTTCTAGTTTAAACTCCGGTATGGGTACCAGAGATGTGTGTGGGAGGGTGAAAATCACCCTTCTAATGTACTGAAATTTCCAGCGCCCAGAGTCAGGATTGCACCCGGGACCTTCAGCACTGTAGCCATCGGTCTTATCCACTAAACCACCAACCCACATGTATAAATCTTATTATTAAAGTTTTAGACTTTAAAAATGACCATACATATTTATTAAGTGTCCCTGAGGAAGACGGATTGCAGCAATGTCTGTGTGCATTTCTCACTTTCAAAACATTTAATTGGATTAAACGAGGGGTAAGACACCTAGGGGCCAAAAAGTTGCAGAAAAACAAACAACATCATTAAAAATGAAAAAAGACAAAAAGACGAACAACAGCACATACAACACAACGGCATAAAACTAAAGATAGAGCAACATGTACTCCACTTACATCATTAATAACTGCTAGATTAACTCGGGTGTTCCGGAATGTTTAGCATTTCCGCCTTCAATAGTGACACCTGCCAATCCATTCCTATGGAAATTCGTTGATGACACACAGCCGGTGAACTATAGCAAATTATAAAATATCTCTTAACCTTAAGACATTACACATTTATTAATCATCTGTACATGTTATTTCTATAAATATCATTTAAGGAAAAATCACAAATTTTACTTTTTATTAAGTGTTGTTCTTTATTTCAGTCAGATGCTAACCAGAAAGCCTTAGAAATAATCACATTTGTTGGTTGTGGACTATCAATATTAGGATGTTTTCTCACACTTATTATTTACACTGTATTCTGGAGGTAAGAGACTGCATGACCTACACAATTATACATATATTTGTCAGCACAATACGGTGACAAAACTCTTTTATCGTAAGTTTAAGACCAACGTTTTTTTTCTGGCTAAAAAAGAGATATAACCCGTTAATAAGACAGTGGGAAATCTAGTGAACGAGAACAACAGAAAATTCACTCTTCTTATTGAAGTTGATACTCCAGGAATTTATTAGCATAGCAACATTTCAAATAAATTCTGAGTTTTACTGTGCGTACTGTGCGTACTGTTGTACGTTTGTTTTTTCTACATTGGCTAGAGGTATAGGGGGAGGGTTGAGATCTCAAAAAACATGCTTAACCCCGCCGCATTTTTGCGCCTGTCCCAAGTCATGAGCCTCTGGCCTTTGTTAGTCTTGTATCATTTTTAATTTTAGTTTCTTGTGTATAATTTTGAGTTTAGTATGACGTCCATTATCACTGAACTAGTATACATATTTGTTTAGGGGCCAGCTGAAGGACGCCTCCAGGTGCGGGAGTTTCTCGCTGCATTGAAGACCCATTGGTGGCCTTCGGCTGTTGTCTGCTCTATGGTCGGGTTGTTGTCTCTTTGACACATTCCCAATTTCCATTCTCAATTTTACATCAAGCTCTGGCCATGTACATGGCCTGGCGTACTTGTCGTTATCTATTTAAGGAGGGAATAATAACATTTTTCAACTTATTTCTATTTTTACTATTCACCAGAACGTTTTCCCATGAATTTATAATTGATAACGTTCTTGCTAAAATGGGACAAACATTGAAAAGATCGATCTAGTTTTCAGTGTTTTCAGGGGAGGTAATATTTTGTCACTCGATTTCCCACTGTACGATGTGGACGTTCACTATTTAAGGATTTATTCTTCTGATGTTTCAGTCTCGTTGAAATCTCGTTCGGGAATTATTTCCAAAACATGTGATACAAGTGGAAAATATCAATGAATTTAAAAACATATTAAATCAAACTAATCTCTGTGAAAAAATTGTGTACTTACAATAAGTAGTTTTTGAGTAATAAAATTTTCAAATTTTATAACCAATCCGGTCAGCCTCATCAGCCAAAATGTTGAGAAAATGGGTGAGGGATAAAAGAAATGATTTTACCAAAAATAGGTACATCCCATATCATTTTTTCTTTTCAAAATTCTTAGATATGTATTTTTTCAATCATTTATCACAAAGAAGTTGAAATAATATGCTTTTTGTTCTAAACAAAAGAGAAAAATCCAAAATTTACAAAATTGACAGCATGGTCAATTTTACACGTAAAAGCAATAAAATTTTATAAAACTTTCTAATATTAACACCAACCTATAGTTTTTTTAAGTTAATTTTATTCAAATTGGTTCACTTCATCTTTAGTGAAAGTATGAAAAAAAAGTTTAATTGTGAAACTGTGATTTTTTTCATGATAATAGCCCAAAAATGGGTCAAAATTAATGAAAAATGGGAAAATCATTAAAATTGGGTACATTTTGTACTTTCAAATGGCCGTAGCAAAAAAAGAAGTGCACCACATGATTTTTTCTTCATCAATTACTTTCTAACAGTCATATAAACCCAAAAATCAGGTTAAGAAAAAAAGTTTAAATTCTACAAATTTTTGGCTCCTCAGAGGTGTACATCCTTAATATTGACGTCTTTTGAAGCTTTTTTTGGGAGGCTCTTGGTATCCTCATCATGTATGCCTACTAAACAAATTTTGTTCGAATTGTTATATTGTGATAATCAAAATAACACTAAATTTCATGTGGTTGATGCGCTTTTCTGGATCAAACGATCAAACCAAAAATTTGAAAGCCAAGGATGTTTAAGACTTGAAACACGCGAAAAGCTATATGACCAAAAGGGACCTAAAATAGTAACTTAATCCATCTACGCCCAACTTTATTTGAGGGAGTTAGAAACTTTAGATTCACAATAATTTTTTAATTTATCAAAAGACAATTTAAGTAAGGTTTGTTATAAATCACGTCAGTACCGAAGCAGTGACTTCTGCGCTGATGATACTCTCCAGGACTTATAGCCCACCAGCAGCGGTATTGACCCACTGCTGTAAAATTAAAATAAAACTGAATAATCTAATGACTAATTACCTTTTCAGATCTGTTAAAAATGAATGGGCTGTAATTTTGATGAACATGTGCATCGTTTTAATAATTGGATATTCCGTCTTCTTAAGTGCTACAGAAGAAACTGAAAATGATGTGAGTATTGTACCATTTCTGATGTTTAGTTCAATTTAATACATTATTCGTTGTAAATGTTGCAATAACATTTATGATAGCAGAAGATACGACCCAGTTGTGTTGAAGGAGCATTCACAAAAAGAAATCCAATAGCTCAACGAAGATGAATATGACGCAAGAAAACAGAAATATTGACAGTCAAAGACATATGCACACACCGAACATGTAACCCAATTCGATTGAACAATACAAATATCTTTTGAGTATATTTTACTTGAATTTTCGAGCACTTTATCAACCCTTAATTTAAACGTCACTATCATAATTTCCATATGATCAAAATGATCCATATTTGAAGTCAGCAATTGTGTGATTTGAACACAATATTAGGTTTATTTTAGCAACAAAATGTAAATATTGAAACAGTGAATACAATCAATTGGTTATCACTTCTTTATGTGACTTTCTACACTAGTTAGCGACTAGTATTGGTCATGTTTCTCTTATAGCAAAATTGAACCTTTGGTGCATCATGATAGCAAACCGAAAACATATCTGTCTCGAATAAAAAAAGAATTAGGCGCCTCCACATCTAATAGAATTACACTTCATACATTTCTATAATACACGTATTAGCCAGCTTGCATTATTTAATCAACAGGTCTCTACCGGAGACCATTTTCGGATTCTCTTTTAATATGAATGTAAATATTGCAGATTGCTTGTATCATAATAACAGCTGTACTACATTACGTGTTTTTGGTTGTGTTCTTCCTCATGTTATGTGAAGGAGTATCAGTCGCTACTGCTGTCACAGTTGTATTCAAGACAAAATCGAGACTACCAATATATTTATCACTTGCTTGGGGTAAGTTGAATTGATTAGTTTGAGATTACTTCTATTGTTGCGTAATTAAACAGACCATCTTTTTAATCTATTGATGATCTGACAAGGTTAACATAATACAAATGTTCGTCTTGTAGGTGTAGATTCTCCTTCTGTTTCGAATGTATTCTGATATTTCTCCACCACTCCAGATAGTTGATTAACAATTGCACTGAATTTAACTATCAAGATAGGAGAACAATTGTAACTCGCGTGCAAACAGGAGGGATAATGTGTTCCACCCCATGGTTTTTCTGTCTTTTTTGTATAAATTCCCATTATTGGATATGCTATCAGTGGTGTTGATGCCAACAAACCAACCAAAGACGTAATGACAAAATGAACTAGTCACCTATAGCTATCGAAGTACCTGGAATTATGATATATTGCGCACATGTACTTTATAAAGGATATCAAGTAAACACCGTAGTACGAAATTTGGTGATAATTGTTATCAGTTTTACATATACCATTGATTTTGTTTTTAATAAATTAAAAGATAACTAGATATGATTTGCTGCATTTTTATGAAAATGTATGTTCCTAGATCCTGTCGATATTCTTTACTTATATTGTGGCTTTTTCATACTTTTCTCAGACTGTTTATGAAGTCTTTACACTTAATCCGTTGGACGTGAACTGATTGGTACTTATGTCTTTAATGAAATTATTTATTTATTAGTTGTTATTGGTTTTGAACTATCTTCTATTAACTGCGAGTAATCTTAGAATGGCACTTTTTGTCTTTTTTATTTATGGTAGTTGGTTTTTTTTTGTCAAGCTGGATTTTACAGTTTGTTGAGAAGCTGTGCTGGTACACCACTGTCCAAGGTTAAAGGATCATTAAGGGGTCACAAGGATATTTAATGCCGCGACATTCTTTTTGTGCCTGTTCCAAGTCAGGATCCTGTAATTCAGTGGGTGTTGTTTGTTGCTGTCGGTCATATTTGCTTTTTTGTTTATTGTTATTTCATTAATCAGGTCGTTTGTTTTTCGTTTGAATTTTTTCACATTTTATCATGTCAGGGCTTTTTATATCTGACTATACGGTATGGTTTTTGTTCATTGTTGAAGGCCGTATGGTGATCTTGGCTACTTAAATCCACTTTCTTTGGACTTTGTTTGATATTTGTCTCATTTACAATCATAAAAAATCTCCTTATTTCATATTTAATTACTACTGCTATAACTACACGAAACTTATGTTCATAAAAATCCCCTTGTGATATATGATATCTTTTATGCTATTGTAAGGAATTTAGGTGTACGTTTAATGTCATAATGTTGCATAACTTATTGGTTTAAGTTATGACATTTACTCGAAAAGTTTGCTATAAAGGTATTAAGTGTAGCTTTCTATATCATATAGCGAGTGATTCATTTCGTTACACCATATTTCAAAAAGCAGCTCTTAACCATGATTTAATGTACCAATGTTAAATTTTGAAGACAAATGTACGTAATGAAGTCAGTTTTGTCCACAATTTAAATGTGTTTCAAAATATTTCTATTCCAGGGTTTAATATGGAATATTCGTATGTTTATAGCACTTAACAGTTCGTCCTTCTGTATTCGTCTTTCATTAGAAGATTATTTTTTTTCAGTTGTTCCGTTAGTGATTGTAGGAACAACCCTTGGAGTAACAAGACTGAAAGGATATCATTCTAACAAATAGTATGTATTGATTGGAATAAATAAGGAAAAAAATATGTAATGGTCACAAGCATGAGAAAGGGTTTATAAATTACTCTGCTTGCCTTTCACGAATCATATAATTTTTAAAATTGCCTAAAACAATGAATTATTTGAATCTTGAATAATTTTGAATTCTAGAAAATTAATAAGAAATGTATGATGAAAACTAACCCAACTAAATAAGGTTAGCCATGCGCATTGCTAAGGTATATTTACATTCACTGATATATCAGTATGAACTAACTAACCCCCCTTACCCATGCATGCATGGCTACACCTCCTAAATTAGGTTTGTTTTTATTATACATTTCTTATCAATTTTCCATGATTCCTTGTTCTAAAACTTTTTTTTAAAAAACCTTCTTAAATTTCTGTTGATAAATTAAGAAATTATTCGGAAACTAATGTTTCATCTCCTCTTTTATACTTTAATGTGAGTCCATCACTGCAACAGTTTAGAGTAGATCATTTCATGTCTCTGCAACATTCATCTACAATTTGCATAGATTAAGGACGATCTAGAGATTGATTTTGTTTTATGATACAATATGCAAATGATAAAGAAACTAACTTGAATCTCTTAAAATTTCTGAGAGGATTTTTAAAGAAGATCTGCAATTATTTACTCCGTGCCAATGAAGCAAAGATCAAGATCACAAAAGACTACGACGCTTAAATGAAATCATTTTGAGTATAAAATCACAAGTTATGGCATCGCTTGTTTAAGGAACGTATTTTATGCTAGTGCTATATTAAAATTTTGTATTTGGCAAGTTGTTAAAGTAAAATAATGAATTGTCAAAGACAAAAATATAATATAACACTAGTTTTACTTTTTCTTTATATCTTATCCACATCCAACAAAATAAAATGATCAATGGAAAATCAGACATCGAAGTCTAGGGGACAATATACAAACACACAAATCAAAAGCAGCATGACATGTACATACATTGTACCGAAACAAAAAGATCAGATGAGCAAGGAACACTTGTAAAAATTTTAACAAAACGACCCCAAGTGAAAAAGTTTAACAAAAAAATCGAGCTCCAAGGCAAATTCAAAAAGAGGAAGTCCATAAAAACTTACAAAATCAAACGGAACAAGTGAAAAAAACAACTACCATATTCCTGACTTGGCACATGCATTTTCCGAAGAAAATGCTGCGTTAAACCTAGTTTTATAGCTAACTAAACCTCCCACTTGTATGACAATTGATTATAGTTCCGTTATATTGACAAAATTGGGGGAGCAACCCAAAACAGACATAGTAGAAAACGAATCATTGACAATTGATTGTGTGAACTCTTTTTACATTTTCAGCTGCTGGCTAAATACTAGTAATTTTGTATTTATGGCCTTTGTTGGACCAGCTCTACTCATTATACTGGTAATTCTTTTACACGATAGTTTACATACTTCTTATGATACATGTAGGGATAGAGGACCTTAACTATATGTATGTAATTATTTACAAAAATAAACGAAAGCACACACACTATTTCACGTGAACCATAAATGACAGTTGAAATATATTTGCCAAAAATTAAAATATCATACATGATTAGCACTACAAAAATTAAAAAAAATTAATTTAGTTAATTTTATCGATTTATAATTTGCTACATCTATATCCATTACAAAAGAAATAGAATAATTCAATTTGTAAAGATGTAGTTTTATAAAGTAATTGTCACCTGATAGGTCAGCTTTCCTTTTTTTCCCTATCTAATAATCATTTCAGAAAAAGAAAAACCGAGCATTTCTGTATCAGTGCCTTCGTTCATACTAATATACATGTATATATATATATATATATATATATATAACTTCGTCATATCACAGATAGTGAATAAGATTAGGCTACCACAAATTGATGAGTGGTTTTGTTTTCAATTTCACGTTTTATTTTCTATCTAATATCAATCAATTTAATCAGATGGAAAATGCTCTGATCGAATGCAAACTACTATCAAAATAATATTATTCGTCTTGGACAACATTGCTTTCTTGATTGAAGAATGACTTGCTCAGCTATTATAAGTGTTATCATTTTAAGATAAATTATATCCTTATATCTATTGTAGATGAATATAGGAACAATAATACTCGTTTTAAGAGCTATGTATTCTAGTGTTACTATGGCGAATGAAAGATTGAAGAAAAAAGCCAGGTTTGTGATAAATGCGTTAGAGGTGTTAGTCTGCAATAAATGAACATCAAAAACGGATCATGGAGAACTGAAAGACTAATTTAACACCTCCGCATGTTGCGATTCCTAAAACGAACCTCTACATTTTGTGGTTTTGTTTAGAATTAATTTATTGGGGTTTTTTTTTTAAATTGACTATGCGCTTTTTTCTAGAGCTTTATTTAATAAAGCATTTATCTTTAATATTGTAAATTAATCTAATTTAAAAAAGTAAAATAACAAAAATCCCAAACTCCAAGAAAAATTCATTACGGAAAGTCCCTTATCAAATGGCAAAATCAAAAGCTCAAACACATCAAACGAATGGAAAACAACTGTCATATTCCTGACTTGGTACAGGTATTTCCTTATGTAGAAAATGGTGAATTAAACCTGGTTTTATAGCTAGCTAAACCTCTCACTTGTATGACAGTAGCATAAAATTCCATTATATTGACAACAATATGTGAACAAAACAAACAGACATAATGGGTAAAAATGTCAAAAATAAGGGTACAGCAGTCAACATTGTTAATCACTATAAAACAAACAAATATGTCAACAAAGAAAAACAAAATGGCATATAGACAAAACACATAAGCAAAAATGAAAGACAAGAATACACAAAATGACCAAAGCACAATAACACAATGACGGGATGTATAAGTACCGTGCCACGCCAAAGGGATATTATCAAAAATGGATTAAACAGTAAAGGTAATAATTTACAAAGACAAATAAAAGAACACTATAACACGTATTAAGATGGTAAACAACGTCAGTACCTATAATCTATACTTCAAGACCATCATGTATTATTTGTAAAGTTGATAGGGAATATTTATCAACAAGGTCTTGGTATCTTCCGATGAACTTTTTTAGAAAAAGGACGAGACTTTTTTTGACATAACCCTGGTTCATCAACTTTCTGCTCAGACACTGGTGACTTTTTAAAAAGTCTGAATAGCAGCTGCAAGCTCTTAAATACCGAATGAGTTGGGGAAATGTATATCCAATATGCAGGTGAAGTTGTTATATTGCTACTAAGGTGGGGGAAATCCCGTCTTCTTTTCGAATATGTTTATAACTGTTTAAGACCATATGTTAGTCTCTTGATGTTTTTGAAGATTTTGTGCTTTGGGAATACTGTCTCATTGTCTTATACCAAAAACACCCTTTACTTATATGAATATGGGTTTTTCTTATTGTGCAACTTTTTCACTTTCAATGTGTATTTGATATCCTGTAACAATGGGTTATGAATTATACATTTCGTCTATCAATAAGTTACGATATTAATTTATTTTTATCATAGAGCGGGTTTAAAATGTATGGTGACACTACTTCCAGTATTAGGACTGTCATGGCTATTTGGAATTCTAGCATTTAATGAAGATACCATCATCTTTCAATATTTATTTGGTATTACCACTTCCTGTCAGGTACATATTTTATCAACTATTTTTTTTTTTAAAGTAGCGTATACCAAGCAAATTATCTGTAGTAGAAGTATTATATATATTATATTGATATCTTATTAAACATGCTACGCTGTATGTTAATAAAATCAGTTACTGTTCACCTTTGCTATTGATAAGGGTTGAATGTTAGTCTACAGACAACAATGCCATATTTATTATTACATTCACAAAAAACTTAAACATGTTAAACTAGCATTTTATTTTTTTTAAGTATTTTGTTAATCGTGTTGATGCTATGTATGATTTTAAATTTTTAATTCTTAAATAATGGATTATTCATATCATTACTCATTTTGTGCATACTGTTTTTTCAGGGATTATTTATATTTATTTTTCATACAGTTTTAAATAAAAAGGTAGGTTATGAAAATTATATTAGATTATGATTTTAGAATATGAAGAGTAACAATAGTCAGTCATGCTGACCTGTTAAGGAAAACTAACACAAGACGACCAACTAAACACTGTATATTGATTTGATCAAACTTTATCAAACAGACTTCTTGACAGGGGAATAATAACAAAATAATAAAATACATGCAACCAAATGCAACAATATGCGGCGTAATTGGAATTCTTGTTATCACACCTTCGTTATGTATATGTAAACTAAACATCAAACAATTATTTGTAAAAAGAAAGACAACTCTTTTTACTTTACGTATACATTATATCCTTACGTCACTTGTATGTACAATGTATAGGGTGATGTAGATTTTACCATATAATGTATATTATAATGTTGCTTGTCTGTTGTTCCCTATTAAGAACTTTATTTAGTATCTAAGGTCCTGAATTTGAAAAAAGAGAATAAAGTGTATGAATATTTTAACTTTTAATAACAATGTATTGTATTCGGTAAAACTTATATATACAGATACAGTCTAACTTTACATTTACATTGATATGTGTTCTCTACGAGTACTTCGCCTTCTTCTATCAATAATAACTGGTGTCCATGATATTGCCAAGAATACTGAAAGAGGTTTTAAACACCAATAACCAACCAATCAATCACATTTGCTATTAAAATTAAAATGTGTATGTTACAAATAATTTATTAAGCAATTGCCAAGGAATTTTATTTATCATTATTAAACAGTATACGTTTATATCTTTCATTCCCAAATTTGCAACGCATGTAGAGTGGAAAGTAAAATTAGAAAGTTAAAAATAACTATCTTGTCTTTTGCCATCTATGCTAGTAAATCAATCGTTATTAATGAATAATATGATTCACATTTAAGGTACAAGAAGGATTTAGAAAAATAATGCACAGACGCAGAGCAAAATCTATGTCAAACTTCAGCAGCAAACCAAAGGTTTGACTTAACTTTACTACTAATATGTTTTTTTTTAACCAGTCGCAGTTATTTCTAATGTAGAACTAAATCATTATATAAACGATGTTTTGTCTTACAATGCTTACTTTGTTTGACTTTACTGTGTTTCCGATTTTTCTGTCGTGAATCATATTCGAAATTTAAGTTTTCAAATATAAAATGTATACTGAATTATAAACATATGATACCAATATCGATCAAACCAACAATGTTTTCCGAGACAAACCTTTGTGAGGTACACTTCAAATCAAACTTTTTTGGAGTCAAATAAACATCATATTCAAATTGACTTACGCAGAAGCAGACAACCAAATATGAGGTGAATTTGACGAAAGCTGTTGCAAGTTTAGTTTTAAAGTACAATTATATGTCAAAATAAATAAATGATGACAATTAATTTTTGAACTCTTTTAACGGTATATGAATACATCTGATGAAAAAGAGATAATATACCCCAAGAAAATCAGAAGTTCAGTAAAAATAAAGTATTGGTTTTAGTAAAAAAAATGAACTCAATGAAAGAGGACATAACATTTCAATCAAAATAGAATCTAATTTCTCTGGGAAAAGTCGGAAACATTCAAATATGATAGTTTCTGCACTGTGTTTATATTGATGGTATTTGAATGACCATTATAGAATATATGCGTAACAGATGACAACGGATATGTGCTTATTGTCGTAGCCATACCCACGTCCTCTGTTTCTGGAATTTGACATCAATCAATCAATGTGTAATTTAACAAAACGACAGGTGCCCCATTTGGAGCAGGATTTACTTACTCTGGAAAAACTGCGATACAACACATTTTTTGTCGGGGTTTGTTTTGCTCCGACTTTAGTTTTGTGTTAAGTGTTTGTAGACTGCTTTTTAGTCGGTTTTTTATTACGATCACTAATTGAGGTTTATTTCCTAATGTGTATTCAAGATACACGACGAGTGCCACATTTGGAACATGATCTGCTTATAATAATAAGGTTATGGTGGGATTTGTGGTGCTTATTCTTTAGATACCTATGTAGTGTTTGTAGACTACTGTAGCTTGTATTTTCGTCGGTTTTGTTTTTAATCACATATAGAGGGGTTTTTTTCGTTTTATGATTTGTTATTGCCCTTCGGTATGTTTAAACGCAATTTTATGGTTGTAATAAGTATATTTAATTATAATTCTGTTTGCAGTCCTCTGGTACACATGACAGATTTGATTCAAAAGGTAAGTCGATATTTTACTTTTTCTAATGATATTATTAGAATTGGTTTTCCCCATTCCGTATTCCGTATGTATGTCTACACATAGTAAAGTTTTTTATGATTATTCTGTCCAGTCTGTAAAGCTTGAGGTGAATGATATATTTTAAGTAGTTATATACATCGAATAAAGCAAGATATTTTATATTCATAACCCCATCGAACTCGACATGCGGGAACTATGACCGGTTTTAAATTTTGAAACTTATTGAGAAATTGCAATACCGTAAAGATCCAATAAATTCATGATGGCCCACAACTTTTGAAATACAGTCGTTCTTCAATATCATTTCACGGCAGTATTTATTTTTAGTTAAGGGCATACATTTGCTTACTTAATATGAACAAGCTCTAGGTTGATTTTATCAACAGGACACACTTGTCAGTGTAGATGGAACATTGAGTTAACATACGTTCTAGTTGAAGTATACCTACATTTATTTTTATTCATACTATCTGGTAATTCGAGATGGAAATATGTTTTTTTGTATTCAATTTCAGAAGCCCAAGAGACGAATACTTTCTTTCCGTGATTAGAAGAAAGTGGATGTTTACTTTGATATCGCTAATGAATTAATTTGAATTACTCTTGCTATAAAATGTCATTTTTAAATATGAAAAAGATTTCACTTCGTGTGCTAATAACATATTATAGCATTAATACATTAACATGCGACTACTTTTCTCCAGCGTGTGCTCGTTTGGTTGATTGTAAGTATCACAGAACAAAATTTTTGACGACATTAATAACACAAATTTGTGCCATCCTCTTTGTATTATAACCGTACAATCCATCAAACTAAGAGTATGTTATATAAATTCCCATGACATCATATTCTACAATCACTTCATATCGATGTAATTAATGATCTAGGTGCCATTTTGCTATACAATGACATAAATATTTCAGTAATTCTGTTTTATGTATTAAAAAAACATTGAATAAGATAATATTTGGTCAACTTAAATTTAGTTTTTAACTTTTAATACAGATGCTGTTATTTTTTACTAGTTCTGTTCTTCTTTCATTGTTCTCATGTGGTTACCGTTATTCAGATTGCATTTCCAAAATTGAGCCTTAACAGTTGCCGTTAATTTTATAAAACCATTGTTAGTTAATAAACTGACATAACATGACAAGTAGTTTATTTGTTATTTATTGAAAACCTCGTGATAGACAACATGAACAGGAGCTTTATTGTAGTAGTAAAATTGGCATAGTCCTTGTATACGGTGTTCATGCTTTGTTTATAATTATTGTTTGCTGCATATATGTATATTATATTTACAGGTGAAACCTTTTTCTGCCTAAACAGGATCATTGCGCATTTGATTTTAATTTTACTGATGAGTCTTATGTAGACGAAACGCGCGTCTGGCGTATTAAATTATAATCCTGGTACCTTTGATAACTATTTACACCACTGGGTCGATGCCACTGCTGGTGGACGTTTCGTCCCTGAGGGTATCACCAGCCTAGTAGTCAGCACTTGGTGTTGACATGAATATCAATTATATGGTCATTTTTATAAATTCCTGTTTACAAAACGTTTAATTTTTCGAAAAACTAAGGATTTTCTTATCCCAGGCATAGATTACCTTAGCCGTATTTGGCACAACTTTTTGGAATTTTGGGTCCTCAATGCTCTTCAACATTGTACTTGTTTGGCTTTATAACTATTTTGATCTGAGCGTCACTGATGAGTCTTATGTAGAAGAAACGCGCGTCTGGCGTATTAAATTATAATCCTGGTACCTTTGATAACTATTTACAGCTTTTATGCAAGAACCCAGAACACTCATCTCTTTTCTGAGATATGTTCATTATAACACAAAACAATATGTAAAAGAGGGGCAAAAGATACCAAAGGGACATTTAAACTCATAAGGCGAAAATAAACTGACAACGCCATGGCTAAAAAAGAAAAAGACAAACAGACAAACAATAGTACACAAAACACAATATAGAAAACTAAAGACTGAGAAATGCATGATGATTATTGCCCTTTTTTGATAGAAGAGAGACAAAAAACAACTAGTGCGTTGTTGTGTTCTCACCTGTAGAGAATGAAAAAAATCAAAAACAATTTAAAATCATTTTATTTAAAAAAGTTTTTTTTTTATTTTCTGCATGAGACTTATAATTTGAATTAAGAAAATGTGATCAATAGATTTTTTTTAAAATATACAGTCACAGTGTATGGAAATAAACTCATCATAGATACAAGAAAAACATTTGTACGCCAGACGGGCGTTTTGTCTACAAAAGACTCATCAGTGCCGCTCGAATCAAGAAAGGTAAAAAAGCAAAACAAAGTACGAAGTTGAAAATTCCGAAAGAGTGTGTCAAATACAGCTAATGTAATATATTCCTAGGGTAGAAAATCTTTAGTATTTCGAAAAAAAATCTAAGTTTTATAATCAGTGATTTTATAATTCATTTAGTTCATGAAGCTATCAAATAACATAATTAGAAACCTAATCTTGATTTATATCCAATTATTAGAAATTTACCTGTGACGTTACTTTTTGTGGCGTTGATCCATTCGTGTTACAGACACACACTTCGTAATTCTATTAAGCTGTTTTTGTGTATTGTCCTAAATTATTTTAGTTATTCGTTGTTATTCTGTGGTTAACATGTCAAAATGTACTATTATATTATTTATTTATGTATTTTTCTGTCTTTGGTGTTTTTGCATTTATTTGTACTCTGTTCCCGTCATGTAATGGTGTCATTGTAGCGGTATATTTAACATTGCCATAAAGCGCGGATGTTTGGCTAGCCACAAAACCAGGTGCAACCCACCATAATTTCTTAAAATGTCCTGTACCAAGTCAGGAATATGGCAGTTTCTATGAATGTTGCATTGTTGTTTGTTTTTTGTTGCACTTCTGTGTTCTGTTATTTCGTTGTTTTCCTCTTATAGTTGATGTGTTTCCCTCGGTTTTAGTTTGTAACCCGGATTTGTTTTCTCTCAATCGATTTATGACTTTTGAACAGCGGTATACTACTGTTGCCTTTATTGCTTACAGTTCTATGATATGAATAATCAACAGACAACACACAATATTTTTTGGGGAGAAAGACTATACTTTGATCAAGAAATGTCATAAAACCAAAGGTCTATACATTTTCTGAAATTTAAAAAAATGATGAAAGTATATTTGATATTCAATGAATAGATGATTGGTGTTATGTGACATATTTGAAAATATATGCACAACTGCTATAATTTATCATTTGAAAAAAAAATTTACCGGTACATGATTTAAAATTTGGGGATTTTTATAGATATTCGTATAAACAGAATCATAAATATCCATTAAAACATATATAATGTGGATTTATTTTCCATGATTTAAATGTTTAATGTACTCTATACTTTATTACTAACAAGGTAAGCATGAGAGGCAAGTTGTTTCTACTAAAGACAAAAAAACAATAAGGACTCACTCGACGCTGCAGAGTTCTTTTTAGATGTATGTAAAAACATGCAGTTCATATTATAATCAGCATGCCATCTGCTTTATATGTTACTATTAATTTCGAATGTATGCTTTCCTCCAACAACCCAAACAAACCATCAGAGGCTTAACATTCCCTTGTATGAATCAGCAAATAGCTCATGTATTTCACTTGCATAAATGAAAAGAGAAACAAAAAGGTAAATGGCGAAATATGTACTTATTCAGAGTAAACACTTTTCTCATACAAAAATAAACAATATATACATATATAATAGCTTAGCATAGGACAGATATTAAAATTCTAAGTGTAACACTTGCAACTTGAGCATTCTGAAATGAAAATGCTCACAAACTAAAACTGGCATATTTACAAAAATACATTTGTAATGGACCAAAATTAAAGATGAATATCTAACAAACATCGAAATAAAAAAGCCTAAGGTGTTGAAAGGGGGTGGAGAGAGTGAAAATTTATGATCCCAAACAAAAATCATGATTACAAAATTATCAATATGTAGATCAGCAAGAATGTGTGATAATAAGATACATTGTGTAGAAACTGACCAATGGTCACCCAACTAAAAGATCGTAATGCAGGAGTGCCTCAAAGGGGTTATGAAAATGTAAATAAATGAAAGGTTTCCGTCGTCTGCATAAAATTAGTTAATAAAATAGCTTGCCTATAATTGAAAATTATAATCCCTTTTAGTTTGATATCTTCAATTTTGAGGTCTGACTGTAAGTTTGTAAAATTCATGGAATTCTTTGATAGAAATGTGAATGAAAAGAACAAAGCATTCGGGTTGTTTGGTGTAGTTTTTGCTTTAAATTTATTATCAAACAATGTACATGTAAAACAAGTAAATCGACAAAAAACATTTCATATTTTTGCCATTTTCAAAGAATTTTTTTAATTCAAACAATTTGATCATTGCAAAAAAACCCAAAACTGTCAAAATCAAAATTCCAAAATCTCTACCAGTCACAGGATTATTTTTTTATTGAACAAGTAAAATATCACTTAAAAGATATAAAAGACACGATTTTTGATTCCCTATAGTTGATTTATTTTTTTTATTTTTTTGGACGGCGATGGTTCTTTGGTCCCTTTTTACGGTGTGCACATGTTTATTTTCCAACTCGTTCGAAATGTCCGTGTATGTTTAAATGTCAATTAAAGTCATATTTGTTATCACAAATTACTTAAACCCTTTACTATATTCTTCATAGATTCAAAGATTTGGTTTGGAAATCTTATAACAAACGGGATATCATATCCGAATTTTACGATGATGTCTTTTATAGAGCCCAACAAATTTAGATACGATCCATGTAAAGGTATTAAGTCTCTGAAAGAACATATTCTGAAAGATTATCAATGAAATAATGTAAGATCTTTGAATACTGTATAGGTAATAAAATTGAGTTTGCTTTAAATATATTAAAACATAATTTAATATGTTAATACTTTGATCATCGGTAAGCGACTGTTGACTAAAATTAATTTGATCATCAAGTCTGCATACCACGTAGTTCATATAACTTAAGTTTCGGTTCCATCCATGTCTACGGAAATTCTTGTGAAGTTTTAGAAAAACTCAATGCAGTTGATTATAGATTTTACTCTAGATCTGTAGACAGAACTTCTCATTATTGTCATACTTTATACACTATTCGTCCGAATACAACTTTTGCAAAAATAGACTTTTTAAACCATATAAGAGTTTGGATGAATAAGGTCTTGAATTCACCTGTTTCAAAAATAACCTGTCTTTTTGTCATAAAGATACAAAAATATATATATAATTGTTCCTGGACGTGGCCAGGAATGATAAGGGCCTTTAATATCTTGATATTAGTATTTAAGTCAGTATGGCATAATTTTATATTGTCGAGTTTTTTGAATTTCTGTGGATACTTTCTACACACCTCTTTTTGTACATCTTTTTCTTTACTGTAATGAATGTTCTTTCATTGAAATACTTCAATAAGGGAACATTAGGATTTCTGATTCATCAATTATTTTTAAAACTCTTTTAACAATAAAAGCAGATACTTTTAAAATGTACTTTCTGTTAATAATCCCGACTTATAAATCAAGCTGATTGTATTGATCCAAATGAACTTCAATACAATAAAAGGCTAATGATAAAAGTTAGTGTTGTCAATTTTAAACATAGCTATACTTATGTAAATTGCAAAAAGGCTATAGTTTAAAACAAATGAGACGATTTCAACTTAGATATTACAAAATGTTTTGGGACGATGTTTTTCTTGTTGCATCATCTGCCATTTACATTTCACAATTTTTAGTAGACTATGTTTTAAAGAAGTTGGCATTCATTAATGTAACTTTGCATTATTGCATAAGCTACTTTTACATGACTGACTACAGACATACGGACTTTTGAATACTTTTAAAACCTTTTAAAACGCATAATCGTCATTTATTCTATAAATGTACTGCTTCTTGTTAAAAATATGTCTAATTTCGTACCTTTTTTATGCGTTTGTTCTAATTAGTGGTTATTTTGTTTGTAACAGGACTGTGCAGCAATTTTTTTTATGTTTAATATGGTTTAAAAATACTCGGGTTGTGCTTACGTAAAACTAGTTTATCCCAAACACATTGTGTGCCTATACCAAGTTAGGCTCTTTGAAACGTGTTTTGTTGTTAGTGTTTGTCTTTGTTGGTCTGGTTTCCCCCCTTATTTTCCCTTTGTTATTGAAAGATGAATGGGAGTTGTGTGTCAGTAGTTAGTGTGGTCTTTCCTACTGTCCAATGTTTTGCAATTCCTCTTATCCTTTTTATATATTCCTTTGTTTTCTTTTCAACAGAATTACTTATCTATGTTTTTTGTCTATCGACTGTGTTATTAGGATAAACTCTACCTTATACTTTTGGTCATTTGTTTAAGAAATTTTTCATTTTTCTAAATAACAATTATTATGTCAGAGTTCCTTCTAACATTATGTTACAAATTTCCAGTCCAAATTGTCATCATTTCTTGTTACATCAACTATTATATCTAACATGTGGAGCTCAATACTATTCTAAACTATTAACTGTCGCAGAGATGAAAAGTGAAATATTATTAATAGTATGGTACTTAGAATAATAGTATTATTTAAATTATCGAGATTTTATGAGAACAATATATATTGTCATTTGTGATATTCTCTCAAATTGGTGTTTAGTGCTAACTTCCAAAGCATTGCATAAACCATGATCTATGAGAATCGATATTTCAAGTAAAAGAATTATGTCAATGTCAAATATTTTGTCTTCTCATTTAAACATTGATTTACTGATATATTTGTAAGATAAATGTTATTGTTTAATAATATACATGTAAGTGCCAATAAATCAGCTGCTGTGAACTTTGCATGGCTATGCTTTGAAGGCAAACAACGAATAAATAATGTTGATTTATAATTAACTTGCAGGTGAAATTGTCGAAAGGACAAGGTAGGATAAGAGCCATAATTTGGCACCTGAAATTGCAAAAGTAGTAAGCTTTTTCAAGCCTTTCAAAATAATTTATTTTATTGATAAAATGGCCACATGCTTTAATCTGAATTGTTTAGTGCAGAGAGGTAATTTCTGATTTCAATAAACAACTTTAATATTCGTGCATTTTTCCGTACATTTCCTATGTTATAATACTTACACCATTACGTCACAGGAAGAGTCGATAGTTCATTGACGCCGATTCACCTATGGTTAACCTGCGTAACTCATTTATAAAACAGAACTCGAAATTTGTCTATATGACGTCATCAATAAGTGGAAATTTACGTATTTCAATCATAGTTTTTGGTCGAAATATTTACGAGCAAGGGCTTTACCCAAAACGAAAACATCTTTGTAAAATACATTTTATAGCAAATATTTTGGGGGTAAAAATCTTGCTCATATCTAAATATTATTGACAAGTCTCAAAAATGGAGCTATTTTCACAGTTTTTGCACTAAATGTGAGACGTTCGATGCCCTAGTTCCAATATGTAAGACGACATTTAAAGATGTTAATACCGATATCCGACAGACTGATGTCTTTTGAACATCTGAAGGATGGAATTCGTAGATTTATACAACCTTTTGATTTTCTAATTCAAGGAGCCAAACAAGTGGCCTTATCATACCTTCTCTTTTGAATATTATCTGTTATTATGTTATATACAAACAAAGAAATATGAATGCTGAGTAGCCAGCTTTGGCGTTTATATGAGATTTTCTTCAATATTTGAACATTTCGTTTTACTTTATTACGATAACTTATTGTGTATATGATTTACAGATATGCAGTTGTCGTCTTTTTGCTTTATGAAATAATTTTTATTCCATTATTTTATCCCGAAAGAGAAAACGATGTTTCCTGTCAAAACAAGAGTATAATTACTAAGTTTTGTTGTCTAAAAACTGTTAATACATTTTATCCATAGTAATTTTAAGTGTTTTGTGTGCTATTGATGGTTTCATATAGTATATATTCAAACATATTTTAAATGACGGCAGCCTTCTGAGAATTCAAAAATATACAAATCTTCGACCGAACCGCAATATCGTCATTAATCCTATTAATTTATCAAATAAAATAGTTTTCAAGAAAAACAATGCTTTAATGTGTATTTCCAATAAGTATAACCAAAAGATGACTAAAGTGAATATTCGGCTTTGGGCGTTCATGGTGATGGTAAAACCAGAAAATGCCCTTCGGACGCATGGCATTTATAAAGTGTTGTTTTCAATTGTTTTAAGATAATATGGCACGTTTTTAGATTGGTATGCCTTTGTTACCGGTAAAAGACATACTTTTTCCTTCACATCAAACTTTCCCATTCTGTATAATAACATTTACCTTTTTCATTACAGTAAGTAACACTGATACAACAAAGTTAAAGGATATGAAGACAGAGACGCCAAAGAAACATGAATTGAGAGCTTTCCTAAAAATAAATAAATCGCAAGCTTATGAAGTAGCAAAAGCCTAAGACCATTGTCACAGTTATAACTGTCAAACAAACTTATAAACTGTCTGTACTGTAAAGTAAATTTGAGTTTGAGAATTCAATCTAAATACCAACGTAATGTGAATCTGATCCTATATAAACAATTAACCGATTAATAAGATATGTTTGTCTCATCGCTGTTATAATACTTTTTATACCATTATAGTTCTTATTTATATTTTCATTATTTCCTAGTATGTACCATTCATTTCACTCAATAGAACATTGTATAGTAATATTTTGTTTTTTGTTTTTCTAATTAAACATGACATTATGTGTACAGTGACTGAAATATTTGTCTACCTTTTCCCATATTGCCCTCTAGATGTTATTATTTTTTATTTGTGTCGTTGGGAGGTTTTCTGAATGACGTATATCTGAGGTCTAGTATTATTCATACAATCACAAGCACCGTATGAAATAGTTTAAAACATTTTGGTCGTAGCATGGCAAAGTTGAGGCAAAGCACTTTAAAATTAAAAATGTCTGCAATGCCGCGGTTAACGTCAGGTAACTACGCAATTATAGTTGGTATCTGATTTAAAACAGTCGAATGAAATATAATTATTTGTTCATTGTTCGAAAGCAACTCTTTTTAAATTCCTCCCCAAAAAGAAATACATATTTGCTCCCCAATTGTCTTTTTTAGGGTTTGTTCGGGTTTGTACATAAGTATTTGTGAATTGTCGGTATATTGATTATGCGTATTATCTCACAGTCGTTTATAGACTATTCCAGTTGATTTTAGTTTATTCTTTAATAATTTGCTGATTGAAGTTAATCAATTTCCTATTCCAGAAACCATGGTTCACACTCAACATAATTTTTATTCTACAATGATCTTTTACTGTGTGGATGTTTCATAAGTTTTTTTTTTTTTTTTTTTTTTTTTTATAACATGTTTTTGTCCATATACCATCTTTTATGCTGAACAAGCTTGGAAGACGCGTCCGCCAACGCAAAACCGAATTTAATTTTTATTATACAATGATCTTCTACTGTGTGAATGTTTCATAATTTTTTTTTTTTTTTTGTTTTTTTTTTTTTTTTTTTTCATTATAACAATTCAATTCAATTCTAGTTTTATTAAAGTCTCATCTCTCAAACAAGTACAACCAATATTTATACATTATAAAACAATACTAAATAAAATGAGAGCCATTCTATACAGAATTATAAGAGACTATTAAAATGCATAGATATAATACACTAAACAATATGAAATAAAATATTATTTACAATATATAAAATTTCTACGCCTTTTTAAAATCAAATAACAGGTTTTGGCACACACACGTATCATATTCACATCTGCGAATAAAAACACTAACTTTTGGTTATCATCTAAAGTATTAAAATTTTCATTAAAAGTTTCAGCAACATAAAATAAATGGTTTCTAAAATCGTCATAAAGAGGACATCTTAATAAAACATGCGCTTCATCTTCAATAAAACCGTCACATATATGGCACACTCTGTTTTCTAAAACAATATTTTCATATCTCCCTGTTTCAATCCTGAGGGGAGCAACACCACACCTAAATTTGGCGAAAGCACTTCTGTGACTGAAGGGTAAAGCTATTTTGCAGTATTCCTCCGGTTCAAAATTTTCTTTAAACAATCTGTACGTTCGTAGCTTATTGCCACCTCTACCCGATATAGATTTATCAGAATGTAAAACACCATGCCAATTGTCGACATGTTTATCGTGTAATTTTGACATAAATAGTTTTACAACATAGTTAGTGTCCATATTTTCAGGATACGATAAATGACTTAAATTTAGTTCACAGAAGGTTTTCCTTACTAAAAAGTTCCAGTTTTTAACACACTTATGCTTGATACTCATATTATCAGCCCACTTATGAACTTTTGCATTTAACCGATTTGAGCTCATATTATCTAATCTACACCACAAACGAATAATACTTTTCCACTGCTTATCAAAAATAGGTGTTATACCTAAGTCTCCAGTAACTGCAGCATTTGGTGCATATTTTCCTACTCCAAGAAAAAATCTACATGCCCTATTATGTATGGAATTTATACAAGAATATGTTTTTACACCCCATATACCTGCTCCATATTCTATTATAGGACAAACCAAACTTTCATATAATTTTACAAATACATCGAAACAAACACCACCTAAAAGCTTACACTTATCTATTACCAACCCCAAAGCTCTATTTGCTGAAGATGCAACGGCTTTTGCAGTAATAATATAGTCTAAATGCTCGTTTAAAACGAGACCAAGATAAGTATAATTACTTGAAAACTTAATAGTATGACCATTACAATTAAAAATTACATCAGATCTAGGTATAGATGGCGGTCTAAAATGTACAACGTTACTCTTGTTTGCATTAATTGTCATACAATTGTCTTCACACCATGTAGATAAAGCATTTAACAGAAGTTGTAGCTCTTTTTCATCGTTTCCTATAACAACAACGTCATCAGCATATAATAAAATACACAGTTTTTCATCACCTTTTTCTATTCCGCAGTCAAAGGACTTAAGAAATGTAACTAAATCATTAATATACAAGTTGAACAAAATGGGCGACAAGGGACATCCTTGTTTCAAGCCACAGTTTACATCAAACCAGTCTGTGAAATGACCGTTTATTCTTACAGAACATAAAACATTAGTATAAATTGACATTAATAGCAGAACAAAAAGTCTGCGCAACACCAATTTTATTTAGTTTATACCATAAAATATCCCTTTGTATAGTGTCGTAAGCCTTTTTAAAATCAATAAAGGCGCAAAAGGTTGATTTACGAATTTTTTTCTAACATCAATCAAATTAGTAAGACTAGATAATTGATCAATTGTACTACGTTGTTGCCGGAAACCATTCTGTTCGTCAGCCAGTACATTGTTATCATCTACCCACTGAGCTAATCTATCGGTCAGTATATTACAGTACAATTTGTAAGACACTGCTGCCAGGGCGATCCCTCTATAACTAAGGGGGTCTCTCGCGTCTGACATGTTAGATTTAGGAATAGGTTTTATAATAATTCTATTCCAAAGATCGGGAACACTACCGTATCTAAAACAAATATCAAATAAATGGTATAGAAATAGAGCTGAACTCTGGTTCAGAAAAACCTTCCCCGGTAGGTTATCAATGCCAGCAGATTTACCCCTTTTTGTCTTTTCAATAGCATGTACTGTTTCCTGAAACGAAATGGGTTCCGTCAACAAAAAATCATTAAAAGTACTCGCTTCATTAATACTGGTACAAGAATCAGAAACCCTAATCGAACTGTTCTGCTGTTTAAGCAATTCTGAATATTCAGATTTCCATTTGTCAAGAACATCTGTTAATTCAGAACTTACATTACCATCATCGTCGATTACTTCCATAGGAATTACACGTTTACGACTTTCTGCAATACCTATTTTATCAATCTTTTTCCAAAACATATGCTGATTTTTGCTAGATTCAGAGAGTAATCGCTCCTGCATATCATACTAATACTTTCTCTTACTTTTTTGAACCTCACTATCAAAATGTTTCCTCTGTTGTACATATATAGCTTTAAGCTGTTTTTGGTGCATGTTATTGCATTTATTCCATGCTTTTTCAGCATTACACATCTCATACCATAATTTACTCAAAGTTTCATTCCACCAGGGTTTCTTATTCCGATATTTTTTATTAGATTGATTACCGCCAACAAAAATAGTCTTAATTGGTATTTTATCAGACATCTCTGATTCAACAGTTTTACAAAAATCATTATAAATACCATTTAAACAATTTTGTTGATGTTCAACAGTCTTAAGGTTTTCTATAAATGAACATATCTTTTGATATATGTTTTTGGAATTCATAAAATTTGCAGGAATATTCTTAAAATCAAATTTCTCAAACTGCATAGAAAATAATCTTATCTTTTTCATTCGTTGGTTGTACATTAGACATAAAAGCATTTAAATCTATACTCCATTTAATTAGTGAATGATCAGGACTGGTATTAATTTTAAATCTACCCCGTTCACGTCGAAGCCTGCAGACGTGACTAGATCATTTGCTCGTATAACACAAAAATCTTTAAACAAGTTTAAATTATCATAAGGTACAATGCAATAATCAACCACTAAACAGCCTTTTGTTGATATACATGTATAATCATTGTTTACAAAGTTTCTACCATTGAGTATACAACAATTAACACTAATAAGGAAATCAATAAATGGATTACAATATGAATTGCACTTAAAATCAACGCCATCTCTTTGACATAAATTGTCAACACTCTCAATATAATCACTTTCATTACCACATCTACTGTTAAAATCTCCGCAAATGAAAAACGGCCCTTTATTTTGATGTTCATAAACTTGTGTAATTAAAGTGTCAAAGAAAGTGTCTTTATCTATTTGACGTGTTGAATTTTCTTGAGGTAAATAACAAATGCAAACATTAAATTCAAAATCAGATGATTTTTCAATAAAGTTTATCCACAAAATACCTTCAAATGATTCATCTAATATAGTCATATGAAATAAGTCATATAAATACATTTTTATAAAAATACCTACACCACCAGATCCATTTTTTGCATTTCTATGTAATGCTTTTCTATTTTGACCTATCCATTTATAACCATTAATAAATAATACATCATCTCCTTTCAAATGAGTTTCACCAATACAAACAATATCTTAATCAAGTTTATTTATACAAATAGAACGAAGAATACAATTATCAGAGTTAGTGTTTTTGTTCCAGTTATTTACATTCCAAAAACCTGCAGATAACTACCATCTACCTTTTCTCGACTGTTGATATTGGCTATTCTACTGTTGTGTTCGTTGTTCTGTTCCCGATGACTTGTTCTTGTGTTGTAGCTGCTGTGCAAGTTGGAAGTGCTACTTCGTGTTGAATTGTTCGTTCCACGTCGTGATGCATTTTGTTGTGTCTGAGAAGTCCCCCTACTCTCATGTTCGCTGCGGTTCTCGGAAGATCTTCTGTGGTTAACATAACGACTGGCAATAACTTCGGCGCCCTTCATATTGATATGTGGATCAACAGACTTTAACACATCTACGATTGTCTGAAAGTTTTTACGCTCAATACGTTGTTGGACAGACTGGTCTCTGTGTATGAAAATATCACTGTACTGACGACTAGATTTCAGTTTGTATTTAACCGACATAACATCATTTACAACTGATTTAGATTTGCACGAGACTATAACAACACCACTCTTATGCTCAATTCGGCTCTGTTTACGTTCACAGTTAATTGGGGTAATTTG